AATGAGGACCAAAACAGGGACAAAAAGGGAAGATGAGCGATGTGGGAGAGCAAGAGAGTGAGTGTAAGAGAGAGAGAAAGGAAAAAGAAAAGAAAAAAAGGAGAGAAAAACAAATATTTGCAAAGAGTAGGAAAAAAATTAAAGATAAGAGGAGCAAAAGAAAAGAAAAGAGAAAAAAACCAAACTAATAATACTAATTTTGGGAATAAAAAATAACAATGAAGATGAAGGGCCTCTTTCAGGGTGTGTCTCTGCTGTCACAATAGACAACGTGGGTCTCAGTGTGCAAATATAAGTCAATGAGTCTCAGCGAGCTAGTCGCAGACCTGTGAGATTCAGGCAGATTTCTGGCTTCAAGTCCCAGGTTGAGCTCCTTGTCCTCCTGTAGGGTTGAACTCTGCAGAGTTGTATTGCAGGTTACAGCTGCCTCTCCCCTGAAGATAGGCCCGGTCCTGATGGGAGGTGAAGATGACTCCAATTTACCCAGTACAGTGGTCTGGTGGTCCGGTGTCCTCTGGGTCGTTGTAGTGTGGAACCAGATGGCTGTACAGAGAAGAGGCCAGAGAAGCGGGGTGGGGGGTGTCCAGTGTATTGCTGCAGGGGCGCGGGCTGATTCAGCGTGTTCTGCGCGACTCGTGACCAAGGGAGTACTTTGAAATTTATATTTATTTTTTAGCTCATCAAGGCCTAGAATTGTGTCCTTAGGAATGAGAGGACAGTCTTCTCTTTTTCTTCTTTATGTAGGTTTCCATTTTATTGATTTCTGACTTATTTATTCTTTTTTTATTGGAAAACTGTGATAAAATATGTTGGTCCCCCTTTATTAGGCAATCTGAGGGTATAGTATATTCAGATAGTCATATTTATCTGTTGATTTCTCTAGGGGAAAAATAGACTGTAGGAGAGTTATAAAGTATTTCTTTTTATGAAATAAACTAAGATTTCCATAAAAGGCAAGAGCAACCACAACATTGTAGTTAGAGTAATTGTTCTGGATTCTTTTTCATGTGAACCAGAAAATGTATTAGGTTTTTTTTTGGTATCGGGGATCGAACTCGGGTCCTTGCTGTATTAGGTTTTTGTCTTTATTTTCCCTTTATTTGTCTTTTGGAAATAAGATTCTGCAGGAGAAAGTTAAAAAGACTTGGATAGTTGTGGATGCACGAACCCTGAAGAAAGAAGATATACAAAAAGAAACAGTTTATTGCTTAAATGATGATGATGAAACTGAAGTGTCCAAAGAAGACACTATTCAAGGTATGTTAGTAAGAGTTTGTGCTTTTGTCTAAAATACATTTTCTTCAAGGTGATATGAGGCAGGCTAGGGTTTGTATTGGTGTTCACTTAGAGACGCTTCTCTGAGTTCACAGATGCAACTCTCTGAAGGGACACAGGTCCTTTAGCTCCTCTGTTGAGTTTAGGCAGGATGCATCCTAGGAAGACAATTGAGAATTTCATTTGTCTGAATTTTAAATGTTTCAAGTGATAAGACATAATACTTAGCCTTCCATTATAGGAAACTGACTAGCTAGGAGAATGCTAGTATTAAGTCAAGTGGCTAAAGAATTAAAAAAATTTTTTCCTTCCTTCATAATTTTTTTTTTTTTTTTGGTACCGGGGATTGAACTCGGGTTCTTGCGCTTGCGCAGCAGGCGGCGAAACCACTGAGCTAAATCCCCGGCCCCTCCTTCATAATTCTTTATATGCCAGTTTCAGGTTTTATATCCTACCAGATATGGTCCTTTAAGTTAATTTAGGGTATAAGAAAAATTATGCTTATTATATTGCTTTACATTCACTAGGATCTTTAAAGTTCAACTCATATATCATACCCATTTGGCTTGAATAGTATGTGTAGATAGTATCTCTACCTAGAGGACTTGGAAACTAGCTAAAAATATCCAAATGTTCAAGAGCTAAAATGATAAAATATCAAAGAATGGTTAGGGTAGCATCTCCTAGGGTCCTTAAGTACATTTCTTGCCAGGGTGTGCACTGTCCAGTACATTTTTGATTTGTAACTCTTGAAAACAGTTTCATCTGTGGTGCTGTAACTCATTGCATATAATTATATGTTGCAGAATAGGGTAGTTCAAGAGTGGTGGTAGTTATCAGTCTTTCTCCTGATACGTTGTGTATAGAATGTAATTAATATCCTACTAGTTCTTTAGTTCAATCAGCAACATAGAACATGAATTTTGGAATCAGTCTTAGATTAGAATCATAATTCTATGGCTAATCATTTTATCCTGGTGGCATAACTAGCTATAGTAGAAAGAGTAGCACGATGAAAGGACAAGACCAGGAAAGTAGGCATAGGTGGTATCTAATAGACAGTGCACTTGCCTTTGTGATTGTCACAACAGCCTATTATAGCAGGTACTTCTACCATTTCCATTTTACAGATAAGAGAACAAAGGCTGAAAGACATTCATTAATGTGTTCGAAGTCACACAGCAACAGGTGCAGCTTGAATCTCCTTCAGAGATTGCTCCTACATATTATTCTGAATCAGGACCGACTAATGAAGGGCTTTGAATGATAGGCTAAGAATTTATGGATAATTTTTAAAGCAAAATGGAGCCATTTACAATTTTTAGGAGCAGGATGTCATTGGAACTGAATTTTAGGATGATGAATACGACAACCAGATATGGAATGGATTGGGAGAAGCAGGGGCTAGAAATAAGGGTGCTAATTTTTTTGATGGTTAGCCAAGGAAGTTGTGATTATCTTAGGCAAAAAGAAAATTTATAGTGGGGGTGATTATGATGGAAGGTGAAAGGTTAAAAACTGGGTTCAAAATGCATAGGAATACATTATTTTTCCTTTATTTTTGCAGCTATGCATCAACATCTTTTGTCTGTCTATTCTCCATAGCCTAGCATGTAGAGTTCTCTTTGCCCACAGGACTAGTATGCATATGTGGGCAAAGGAATATGGCTATATGAGGTGTGATTAAAAAATATGGAGCATATTTACTTTTTTTTAAAGTTTATTACAATAAAAGACACATTGCCATTAATACCCCACAAAATATCGTGTCTCAGTTCAAATACACGTATCCCACCATTCTTTTTGTTTGTTTGTTTTTGGTTTTTTGAGACAGGGTCTCACCATGTAGTCCAGGCTGGCTTTGAATTCACTATGTAGCCCAGGCTGGCTTCAAACTCATGGCAACCCTCCTGCCTCAGCCTCCCAAGTTCTGGGATTACAAGCGTGACCACCACACCTGGCCATCCTACCATTCTTGACAATATCTGAAGCAGTTTTGGAAGTCCTCTTTTGCGTCTTTCATTGTGCTGTCATGGCTGCCTTAATGTCCTAAATTTATTGAAAATGTTAACCTTTTTATTTGATGGAAATTGCCCTAAATGTTTGATTAACTTGGCATGATTGAAACATAAGAGTGAATGTTTAAATTAAAAAATTTATTATAGTAAAAGACACATTGCCATTAATCCCCTTCAGAATACTAAGAGTACTTTCCCATTGCTTCAACACACTTTTCCCATCATTACAATAAGGCAATGTGACTTACTGTAATATGTTTTTTAAAATTTAAACATTCACTATATTTGTACCTGTTGTAATGTTATAGTCTGTTCTACACTTTCTGCCATATAGAAAAAGATAGAGATATTTGCCCTTTAAGTAGAAGAATCAGAAAACACAAGACAGTTTTAATTAAAACTTTCAAGTTACTGTTAAACAATTTAAGTAGAAAGATAATTGACACAGGGAAAAGTTAAGAAAATCAATCCTGTACCTGGGCCGGGGATTTAGCTCAATGGTTCTGGTGCCTGCCTTGCAAGCGCAAGGTCCCAAGTTCGATCCCCGGTACCAAAAAAAAAAAAAAAAAAAATCATGTACCATATATTTCTGTTAATATTTTGTTGGATTTTGTTTTTGCCAGTTTTTAAAAAAAGACATAGGAAGATAGAAATATGTGTCTTTTTACTTAAATGCATGGTATCAACAGACTAACAGGAACAAATAAACATTGGATCACAGAATCTGCTCCTGAAAACTCAGGATTTTTGTTTTTTAGATTAAAGATGAATGGTTTTTCCCTTGCATTTACCCAAGGCCAGAATCCTGGAGTTTTGATAACTCTTCTCCTTACCACATATAAAGATGCTGTGTGCTGAAAGAGCATGGTCTTTTATGGAGTGGTGGCAGTGAACGGAGTTGAGGTTTTGTCTTTTTTTTTTTTTTTTTAATCAGAGGCAATATTTGCATAAAGAGAAAAAAACAAAATTCCAAATATAAAATAAATTTAAATGAAGAAAAACATGCAACTTATCAGTTGAATATTTCTAAATGGAAGAATTTTGTCATCCCTTAGGTATTTGTATGTCTCTAGTGTACATTTTTCAGAACATTTTGTTCTGAAAATTTCCTATGGGTGGTTTTCTCTGTGGATCTCCATGTTTTTGAATAAATGTGTTCTTGTTATTATGTTTACAAACCACGCTTGTACTTTAGTCAACCATGGTTTATCTTGGGAGGATAGCTAATACGTTGCATTTGCTCTGTTCTTTATTCCAGGCTGGATAACCACTAAGGTAACTATATTGAAGAAGATGCTACTTTAAAAATGTAATTAGATTTTAATTTTTATATTGTGTGTATAGTTTGGTATCTGCTACTGCTTTTTCTCTGTTGGTCACAAGGGGCAGTAATTTGGTTCCAGGGAATAGAAGATGGAGGCAGACTCTGGAGTATGTGTGTGTTGTTAATATATGCATAGAGCACATTTCAGCTTGGAGAAAATGAGGCCCCATGTACTTAACAGATGTTCTTCTCTTGTTCTCTAGGGTTCCGCTATGGAAGTGACATAATTCCTTTCTCTAAAGTGGATGAGGAACAAATGAAATATAAATCGGAGGGGAAGTGCTTTTCTGTTTTGGGATTTTGTAGATCTTCTCAGGTACAGCAATTACTTTGCAATTTTGAGCAAAATACATGACCCTTTTTCCACCTATTGCTTGAGATGGTGTACTTTTGATTGGCCATTTTATTTACAATATTTATTTATTTTACCTTAGTCTTCTAAAATGTGGTCTGAGGTTTAGTGTTGCCACCTTTAGTTTTTGAAGAGGAAAACAAAGATGTAGAAGAGTCTTAGTACAAATCTGAATGATAAATTCAATTAAATCACTTTTTTTTTTTTGCCTTACTAACCATTATAGCTCATAGTAACCATAAAAAAACAGTATCCAATTCTTTGCTTTTCTGTTGTTTTCTGTAAACTGCTATGTATAATGGAATATTTTAGACCTTTGAGGATCTGGCTGGGTATGTATGTATGTATGTATGTATGTATTTATTTATTTTTGTGGAACTGGGGATCGAACTCAGGACCTTGTGCTTGCCAGGCAGGCGCTGGTGCCAGTGAGCTAAACCTCCGGCCCTGGCTGGGTTTTAAATGACCATTCATTGTGCTGATCACCTTTCTTCTTTTTTTTTTGGTACTGGGAATCGAACTTGGGACCTTGTATGCTTTCGAGGCAAGTGGTGGAACCACCGAGCTAAATCCCCAGCCCCGATCACCTTTCTTTTTGTCAGTGTCCAATGTTGAGTTCTAGGATGTGAAACTTAATCTAAGTTACATGTGTTTGAGGCACTGAAGCAGAGATGCCCAAAATGGACCCAATGGGGAATTCACCATTGGATACCACAGACAATGTTAGAAAGAATTGTTAAAAGATTTCCAGAGATCTTAGGTTAAGTGTTCTTGAAGTAGGCAGTTAGAGATCAGTTATTATTTATAAATGTAAAGTGTATCTTTTTATGTGTATTTTACCCAAGTTTTATAGGGACAAAGAGAATTTTACTAACAAACTCAAATGAAAACTAGTGTTCTCTATTTCACAGTATCTATTACACATTTTGGTCCTCATTTACACCTTCAGTTTCTCACACCTGAGGAACAATTCGGTATTTACACAGGTGTGTCAAATTTATTTCACTTAAGAGTATGGCTTCAAGGTGCATCCATATTTAGCTATAAATGTCTCAAGTTTATCTTTCTTTATGGCTGAGTACTACTCCATTTTATTAAAAACCCCACATCTTCATCCACTCACCAGTTGCTGGGCTTTTGGACTGTTTAGAGGGGGTGGGGGAAAGGAAAGAAGGGAAAGAAAAAAAAATTGAAGAAAAGAAGGAAAAAAAGAAACAAAGGTTATGTATATAGGAAGGGGTGGAGAGGTTGAAGGGAGGGCAGAGGAATGGGAAAAAATAAGAACCAAGGGGCCGGGAATTTAGCTCAGTGGTTTCGCCACCTGCTGCGCAAGCGCAAGGCAAGTTCAATCCCTGGTACAAAAAAAAAAAAAAAAAGAACCAAGATCTATCATGTACAGGTTCAAATTCCCAATGATGAATGTGATCATAGGTATACCTAAAATGTACCAATAAACTCAATAGATAAATAAAAATATAATATTTATACATATATATAAAAGAGAATTAGAGTGAAGATAAATGTTACCCTGTATTCTATTTTATTTTGTTTTGTTTTTTTGAGACAGGGTCTTGCTATGCAGTTCAGGCTGACCTTGAACTCACTATGTAGCAGAGGCTGGGCTTGAACTTCCCTCGATGCTTCTGCCTCAGCCTCCCAAGTGCTGGGATTACAGGCCTGCGCCAGGGGCCCAGCTACTCTATTCTAGATTTGAAATTCTTCATGTTGCTCTAGCATATGATCCCTGTCCATGTGTGTGTTAGAATAATTCAATGACATTGAGAAGAACTGTTGTCATGATTGCCTAAGCTGTTAATAGGTGCCTTCAAAACTTAAAAGCCTTGTGCTTGCGAGGCAGGTGCAGCATGACTGAGCTGTATCCCTGGCCCTATTTTCACCTTTTTTTTTTCATGTCTCTTCCTTCCTTTCTCCCTTCCTTGTTCCCCTTCCCAGTTGAACATTTTCTTCTCATCTCCCAGTATCTATTATACATTTTAATCGTTATTTCCACTTTGATTTCTTTATCTTTCCCCATATTCACTGGCCCTGCTCTACTCTAAAAGCAGTTTCTCAGATTTACTATGCTTTTATATCACTCTACTTTTTTATTCACTCTGTTAATTCTGCCTGGGATCTTGTGCCCAGAGTTCCCTAGGTTAATTCCTACGTAGTCTTTTAAGTCCAGCACATGATGATGTTAAGCCTAGATGTCACCATTTGCATACACATTCCCTAAACCCTTATGACAAAGCTTAGTGCCCTTATGTGCTCTTACAGCACTATAATATTGCATTGCAGTTAATTTCATGTTTATCTACCTAAGTTCCTTAAGGACAAGATTATATCCTATTCACTATTGTGTTTGTAGTATCCACAATGAAACACACATACTAGGTGTTCAGTTTGTTGTGTTGAATTGAATTGGGCCTCAAGTAATAAATTGTTCCTAGTAATTGTGAATGTTTCCCAGTAAGAATGGTTTGAATAGACTTTCTTAGCAACATGGGACCACGGGACATAGTAATTATATATATTATTTTAGATCAAAAGCAATTTTTTTTCCCTCTCTTATTCTTATAGGTCCAGAGAAAATTCTATATGGGAAATCAAGTTTTAAAGGTCTTTCCAGCACATGATGATGAGGTAAGTTGACTGTGATCTTTGAGGTAGTACTATAGAACTGAACTGTCATTTTATGAAAGTGGCCTGAGGCTTTGTTTAAAATGACATGAATTCTTGTAATAGCAGTGGGAATTTTCACTGACTTTTGACTTTGAAAGTGGAGAAATGATAAACAAGTTTGTCTTAGCATAACGAAAAGACCTGAGAACATAGTTCTGCAATTGGAGAACAAGTGCATTTGGGTGTGGAAATTTCACGGCCAAATGTTAAGGAGGTTTGGGGTCAGGATGACATTTTTTTTTGGTACCAGGGATTGAACTCAGGACCTCGCGCTTGCCAGGCAGGGTCTATGCCGCGGAGCTAAATGTCTGGCCCTGCATTGACATTTTGATTTTTATAAACACTGAATATTTAGTGTTAGCATAAGCATCCTAGAGAGGTGCTTCAGAGACTCACTGGACTACCTGTATCACTGAGGAAATTTGTCTTTTACCCTCTCCCTTTCTCTTTGCACTCTCTTTACCACATTCCTCAAGTACTCTGTTTCCAGGCTAGTTTCTGCCTGGCTAACAGTGCTTTTTGCATCCTACATTCACATTTACCTCTTATTAAGTTTTTTTTCTTACTGCCAAGTCAGAACTCATTATTTCCTCCGAGATATTAATCTTAACTGGAAGATTGCAGTCTAGTATCTGTTTAAGGCAATTTAAGTAAGTTTCCAAATTTCTGAAGCATTTGCATTTGAAATTAGGGATAGGAGTAGGGTGTTGGTATAACAGGTATAGTTTTCTTTTTTCCTCACTTCTGGAAGATAACTGGCTGCTGGTCTAGTGGATGAGTATGCCAGTATTCTGTGAGAACAGTTAAAATTAGGAGAAGAAAATGCTTGGCTTCTACACTGCACCGAACAGATTCATTAGTGCACAGTAGACATATGTGAATCTTCAAATTTGAGGACTCTAGTTCGTGGGTTTCTTCTGAATCAAATCCTCTAAGTACATGCATGTTTTTTTTGTGTACCGCCAAACCAGGACTTCTTTTTAACTTCTGCTGGGGTTTTAGGCCCTATTTGTCCCTTTACACAGAAAATTCTGATCACTTCATGAGAATTGTGGAAATGCAGTGAGGGATGTCATATCATAAAGTTGAGTTGACACATGTGTTGGGTGATTATCTAGACTTGCTAGTTGAGAGCAGCCTTAAGAATTGCATGATTTGAATCTGGCCTAGTATAGGTTAACTAATTTTTGTTGTCAGTGTGAAATAAAAATAGACAAAGCTCCTATAAAAGAACTTGTATTTGGGAATAAAGAATAGGATTCCAACTTGGGACACACATGTAGAGATCTGGTTGCCTCTGGTTTGTTTGAAAAACAGAAGAGTTTGGGGGTTTCACTAGGACAGAAATCTATGCAACTTATCACAAAAGAAGAGTGTCAATTGACACTTTTGGTACTTGAGGGAGCTGGCATGCTCTACTTGGTGAGTGTCTTAGTTACTTTTCTCTTGTTGAGACAAAATACCCAACACCCAAAGTTGAAGGAGAAAAGGTTTATTTGGCTTACAGTTTGTAGAGATTTCAGCCCATAATTGGCTGGCTCCAAGATAGGGTGGCAGAGCGGCAACAGTTCATGGTGACAGAAGCAGCAAAAAGCAGCAAGAGAGATGGGAGGGGCATCACAGAGGAGAAACAGTTCTTGGCAGTGGAAGACAGCAAAATCAACAAGGGACCCTAACAATGTCTTTCTGCTCCTTTTATCTTATTCAGACTACTGGGATTACGGTGGTGCCAAACCAATCACTTACGTGTAGTGATTTAGTAATCACACACCCTTAATCCTAGCATAACACATTCCAGACTTAGCTACCTTCGAAAAAGACTGCCTGAGGCTTTGGGGGAACATCGAGACATAAGCCACACAGGTTTATTGAGCTTACAGTTTGTCAAGGTTTCAGTCAATAATTGGCTGGCTCTAAGGCAGAGTGGCAGAAGGACAACAGTTCATGGTGGTGGAAGACAGCAAAAAGCAACAAGAGAACCTTAAAGGCGTCTTTCTGCCCCTTTTATCTTATCCAGACTACCAGGGTAAGGTCCTGCCAAACCCATCAGTGTACTGGTTTAGTAATCACAGGCCCTTAATCCCTGCACCATACACTCTAGATTCAGCCACTTCTGAAGCCACCTGTGACTGAATGAGGCTTTGGGAGGACATCTAGACTCAAACCATAAGTGACTTATGACAGTTACTGTATAAAGCTAGTCTTAAGATTACAGTTGGGAGTTAGTTTGGTCATCATTGGATAAATATAGATATTCTTAAAGACAGGACAGGCTGTCTTACTGGATTGATTCTGTGAGATGATTCCTGGAGCAGGTGTCAGTGACCTGAGTGTATCCACTTCCTTTCCATGGCTCCTAGATTCTTTGTAGGTTTCAACAGGAATGGCTCCATTTGGTGTAATGGATTTGCATACTGCATAGCTTAAGGTCACTTCAAGGTCATTCAAGAAAAGACATTTTCATCTTCTAAATGGCAAAGGACTACCTTTTAGTGTCACTTTTTGTTGTAGAAGTCAAAAAATGCTATTATCTAATTGGAGTTTATAAAATAAACAGGAGAGTCAGGGAACTCTGACATATGAGTACTTCCAGTAAAAAATTGCAGAGAGAAGCCAGGCCTGGTGTTGCATCCCTGTGATCCCAGCTACTTGTGAGGCCGAGGCAGGAGCATCACAATTTCAAGGCCACCGGCCAACTTAGTGAGACCATGTCTCAAAATAAAAAATTAAAAGGTCTAGAGATGTAGCTCATGATACAGTGATTGCCTTGCATACCCAAAAGCCTCATTTCAATGCCTAGTATAGGAAAAAAACAGCACGTGGGGAAGAAGATGTGTGGGTAGATGGGGAATAGGAGGGATGACAGATTTAATAGTATGCCGCATACATCTAGAGGATGATTGTGTGGAATTGGAATTTTTCTTCGTGTCAGAGGGGTGAACTGAGACCAACATGTAGTGGGTTTTTTTCCAGATGAAGAATTACTTTGTCAACAAAAATTAGGATCTCCAAATGAATTTTTTGTGAGATAGTCAGATCCCCTTCTCTATAAGTTTCTAAGCAGAATCTTCAGTACCACCAGTCTAATGAATCTGTATGTACATTGTTAAACGAAATCAATACTATTATTTTAACTCAAATATTCTGTGATGCTGTGAATAACTCCTTTAAAATTTGTTTCTGTGGTTATGAGCATATAATTATTTTTGGTATAGAAAATCTGTACTTTTATATGCTTATTTGTTCTGTGTATGGAGGAGAAGTGGAGAAGGGAAAGGGAGGGAAATGGAGCTTCAATTGAGTTGAATGCAGGTGTAGTATGGTGTTATAATGAGACAGTCATTCATGACCCCCATCTTGCCTTTAAATACCCTAATTACCCCTGTCCAAGACATGAAAGTGAAAACTTCCAAACAAACTAGAAGTAATCTTTTCCTCAGACTGGTCCTTTCATGTGGGACTTATTATTAGAGCATAGACATCTTATATTTGCTACATCTCTTATTTTTGCTAGTGGAGACTGTATTAGCTCAGTGAGGTCAGGGACACATCTTTGTTTTCTGACGGAGCCTAAGAGAGCACCTAACAAAGAATAGGCACCAAGTAAATATTCTTTCCATTGAGCTGAAAACAGAATTTGTCTATGATGAAATCTTTAGAGAATTTTGATGGAAAAGTATTGAGAACATAGGTTTTTAGTGGAGGAAATAGAAATACAATTAGCTAACTTTGACACAGGTTATCTGTGATACTAGAAAAGTGTGTAATGTTTAGGGAGTTTAAGAAAGGGAGAGAATTGAGTAAAGCAAATCTGAAATGGAGAGGGTGTCAATTTAATAGGTCTTGAAAATGGGTTAGAAGCTAGAGAACCAGAGATGTGGAGGGGGCAGTCTAGCTTGGAGGAAGTTATGTAAGCAGAAGCTACAGGGGAGAGAAGGTACAAGACACACCCACAATCACTGATCATCTCAATTAAATTGGAACAGGAGCCATTGGAAGTTTTTATGGAAGGGAGTGATATGCTCAGCTCCGTGAACAGGGGTGGCAGTGATGGATTTGAGAGACAGTCTAGAGTTAGTTAAGTTGAGGGATGAGAAAGGTGGCATTATCAAAGACGTGGGGCTCTAGTTTTAGTGAGTGGAAGGTGATATTGATGGAAATAGAGAACATAGGAGGAGACTGGGGAAAGATAATAAATGTGGTTTTAGTCATGGATATCTTCAGGTACCTGAAAATGCCATACTAGTTACTGCATGAGATATTTACCAATTAGTAGGCAATCTAAGTCTCAATCTTAGGAAAGTTTTAAAGCTAACCTCACAGATTTTTGACTTGTCAACTCACGGGACTGGAAAGTAATCCCAAAGTAGAATTTTAGAGTGATAGGACAGAAAGGCCAACAGTAGAATTTAAGAATCAGCTGGGAGAAGAGAAAAGCGTGGGGAAGGACAGCCTACAAAACAGAATAATTAAGGGAGAGTGTTACTTCTGAAGCCAGAGAAGGAGAATGTGCAGATCCGGGGTGGGCAAGGTGGGCTGGGTGTCCAGCAACTGCAATCGGAACCAAGGACTTGGCATGGAGGAATCATGTGTGACTCCAGAAGATGGTTTTATTAAGGAAGGGGAAGGGCAGTAGCTGGATTAGATTGAAGACTGACTGTGTTCAAAGCAGGGCAAATAGCAAGATTATTATTTCATGAAATTTCCAGGGGAAGAGAATGAAAGATACACGTGTAGTAATTTATGGAGAGAGAAACACAGAAATACTTTGTTTAGGAAGGCTGAGAATTGAGTTAATTTGTAGGGTGAGGATATGAATTTGGAGTAGAAAGAAAGTTGAAACAACATGTAGTTTAAGAAGTTCCAGAAAAAGTGCACTCTGTTTATAGTTTGGCCTTGAAGTTTATTTTATTTATTTATTTTGGTGGTGCTGAGGGTCAAACCCAGAACCTTGTGCCTGCTGAGCAGGTGCTGTACCACTGAGCTATATCCCCACCTCCAGTGGGCACTTAGAAAAAAATCTGAAATAGAAAGGAAGTGGATGATATTTTTAAAAATATATAGTATTTGTGGAAATTCTCGCATATTCGGCGTATGATAACACTTGCATCTTTCTTAACAGGCAGCAACAGTCGCACTTTCCTCCCTGATTCATGCTTTGGATGAATTAGACATGGTGGCCATAGTTCGATATGCTTATGACAGAAGAGCTAATCCTCAAGTTGGTGTGGCTTTTCCTTTTATCAAGGATGCCTATGAGGTAAAACCCATAGGTCTTTTTTATTCATTTTTTTCTTCCTCTCCTTTATTCTAAGTCATACTTCTCAACTGTTAGTGTGCATGAAAATTACTTGGAAGTGTTGTTTAAATGCAGGTTCTAACTCTGCAGATCTAGGGTTGGGTCCAGATTCTGCATTTCTTTTCTTTTTTTTTTAAGAGTAGGAAAAATTTATTGGGAGAAAGAAATCTTCTGCCTAAGAGAGACAGAAGAGGGTAGATTCTGCATTTCTTGTAAACTCCCAAGTAACGTTGACATTGCTGATCTGTGATCCGTGCTTTCAGTTGTAAGAAAACTATGAACTACTAAAGTATTTAAGGAGCTTTTTATGAAATCAGTAAAGGTGAACCATGACCCTCCCTCAGTTCTCATCCTGCTTGACTTCTCAGAACCAAATGGGAACAGAACTTGCCCCCATTTTAACAAATAAGGACCGTGAATAAAGGTTGAAGATGTGATTTGATTGTGACCCTTGTGAAGTTCGGTTTATTTGGGGCTTTTCTATTTAAAATACAGGTCTAGATTCCTTTCAGTTCCTGTTTCTGAGGAAACCTACCATGGCACAACTGTAAAGAGAGGGCAGATTCCCTTGGCTTCCAGGTCAGCCTTCCAGGCACCCTGACTTCTCTCATTTGTTCTACTTGGTCATGCATTTTATAGTTATCATTTAATAATCTTTCTTTTAAGCGTTTCTTTTATGTGTAATATCCTTCATACTGTTTGCAGTTTTAAATAGTTGATAGCAGAAGTCAAAACACTTTTCATGTATTAGATTTAAGCTAATTTTTGAAATGTTTCAGTTGTGCCGGTTTCACAGCATTTGGGACCATTTTTATATTTTTCCATTAATTTGGTGTTTCTGCTTTTTCTCTGTTCTATTTCCCATTAGTGTTTAGTGTATGTGCAACTGCCTTTCATGGAAGACTTGCGGCAATACATGTTTTCATCCCTGAAAAATAATAAGAAATACACTCCCACAGGTGAGTTTATTTCTGTTCAGCTCATTAATGGCTCTACATGTAAACTGCTCTGAGGAAATCACCTGGCTGCAGTCATAAGTCAGGGCCAGGCTTTCACAGAGTGGAGTTAGTTGGATTCTAACCATAACACTCACACTCAGTGATGATGAAGATGGTCATCAGGTGTTTTTCCAGTGGTAAGGATAGGTTTGCCCTAAACTCTCCAAACACAGTCTCGTTCTGCCTTCTGACTTTGAGCATGTATCTAGAAAACAGCTTGTTGAAGCTGGCTCTTCATTCTCCAGTTGTAAGCAAAAGGTTTGTCCCTGCTGAAGTGGAATGGTGTGCAGTGTCAAACCTGTGACTTCAGGGTTCTGTGTATGTTCTTATATAACTTTGAAGTGAAGATGACAATGCTAGAGATGAACTTTGCTCCTTGTCCTTCCTATGTAGTTTACAGTGGCAATCCAAGTCCTGTTATTTATTTCCTGTTGCTAGGAGTTACTCCATGCTTGATGAGAAAGGCTGTTATTAAGCATCTGGCTGCAAATGTCAGAGTGTTACACTGAGTAATTCTCACAGCCACAAGTCCTGTCTCCCAGAGAGCTCACTGTTTTAAGACGGTCATGATAAAGTGTAATGGGGCAGAATGAAAATAACAATGACTGATAATAGATGTTTTAATTTATGAGTTTAAAGCTATTATCTTTGTCAGTGTAGGATTAGGGAATTGCGAGGTGAGTCTCCAAATGGTATTCTCCTTGTGTGTTATTTATTTATGTTTTTTGTACTGGGGATCGAACTTGGGACCTTGCGCTTTTGAGGCAGGCGCTGGAACCACTGAGCTAAATCCCTGGCCTCCCTGTGTGTTATTTTGGCTAGACCCTTTGGAAACAGTGTGCTGTGGAAAGGCCAAGAATAAAATGGGTCTTTAGGGCCTGTATCTTCCTTTTAGGGATGAATCCCTATCACAGTGGAGGGAGATACGGGTCTAAATGTATAGTAGTTGTCACCATGTTACAGTCTGTCTCTTTCTTGACCATTCCAGACTTTAAATGAGTAGAATGCTTTAAAAGGAGAACTTTGTTGAGAAAGTATCTTTTAGATGTAACTCATTCAGGATCTAAAAAAACTGAGCATCTCTTAATTAGTTGATCTGTGTTCAGTGAGTTAACGTATTTCTCTTTGCATTTTCTCTAGTGGAAAGTAGATCCTTAAAGCTGTTTGGCATATTTCATAAGTCAGTGTTTATGTAGGGATTTTCAGTGCCAGAGTTATTTCGCCTCATAGTAGCTGGTGGCAGCAGGTGGAAATCACTGAATGTGCACATGTTCAAGACCAGGCATACTCTGTGCTAGTCATCTTAAGAAGGTGATGGCTATCCTATTGCCTGAAGTCTACACAGGAAAGTTCAAAACAGGAAAGAAATGTTGCATGATAAATACTGTATTTTATTTTGTTGTAGCTGTACAAAAGAGATATCTAAAAAAGTGAAAATAGAAATGTAAGGTACTTTTCAGAAACTGCTTGCCCTTTACCCTTTTGCCTGGTAAATGTAAATCCAAAAACAGTCCTTTAGCTCGATAGCTGAACAGTTTATGAGTCAGAAGAATGAAAGTTACACATGGTAGCTTAGTTGGAAGCGTTTTTGAGAGGTGTTGCCTTTCATCCACATTGCTTTGAGCAGTGCCATTTTTGCTGACTTGATAGATTTTTATTGAGGAGCGCTCACCTTCTGTTAGGGTTTAGGAAAGACATAAAATGGATAATGTTGTATTTCTGCTGTCACAGAGCTTTAGAGTTTGAACAGAGACATGTACGCAGGTGTACATATGTACAAGGTACCTAGTGTCATGAGGCTTTGCAGGAGGAAAGCCTGATCCTGACAGGAGCTTATAAAGGCATCAGCTCACTTATCCAATGGTGTGTTCCTGTTAAGGCTCTGCACTCTGATAAAAATTATAGTAAGTCTTTAGAAAGCTAATGCTTCATTACTAGATGGGTTTTCTTTTTCCTCTTCAATGTTTTTCTTTTAGCTGATTACTAACTTTTAAAGTACCAACTCATTGAATACAAAATATTTTGTATGAATCTCCATGGGGGTGTTGAGTTTTGTATGGCTATAGTGCATTTTTCTGGAACAAACTCATTGCTTTTGATATGATACTCCATTGTCAAAGGTCTACTGAATGGTAGCACAGAAAGGGACCTAAGAGATCAGCTATTCTCATTAGCTCTTTTCACAGATAAGCAAACCAAGACTCAGGTTAAGTACTTGCATAACTAGAGTTTATTTTTGGCAGAGCCAGGCTATATAACCTGCCAGTGTTGCTGTATTTATAAATGGAAAACATTTATTATTTATTGTAGTGAAGGATAATGGAAATAATCATTTTTTCTTTCTGCTTTTCCTTGTTTTAAGAGGCACAGTTGAATGCTGTTGATGCTTTCATTGAATCTATGAGTTTAATAAAGAAAGATGAAGAGGAAGACACCATCAAAGACTTGTTTCCAACTACCAAAATCCCAAATCCTGAATTTCAGAGATTATTTCAGGTGAGAAGGGAAAGATGAACCACTCATAAAGCTGTGAGAAAAAAAGCTGTGGTCATTGGCCAGTCCCAAATAAACTTTTTTATCCTCTGAGGTTCTGAGGGCCTCATTTGTTCTACTTAGTGGAAAAATAAAGTTTCTCCTTTTTACTTGAAAAGAGAAAAATATTCTGAGCTTGTAGAAAGAAAATTTAGAATCCTTTTTTTCTTTTCTTTGAAGAAGCCTAGTTGAAAAAAAAATATAGGAGGGCTTAATAAAAAGCAGGTTCTTCTTTTGTGTCTTTTCAGGCTTTTCTCGTATATTTCTATGTGAATGACTTTAAAGTCAATAGCAAGGAAGCTTACATGAACTGTATAGTAATATAACCATGATTAGGGAGAAAGTATTGCAGTGTCATGTTTGTCAAAAATTTCATAATTAAATATAGAATAGAGGTCAGATAAGGAGATTATAATATGAAATTATTCAAGAGTAATTAAAATACAGAAAAATATAAAATACAGTATGTGTTTCTGAATCTTTTTTTTTTTTTTTTGGTACTGGGGATTGAACTCGGGAACTTGAGCTTGCAAGGCAGTCGGCGGAACCACTGAGCTAAGTCCCTAGCCCTGTGTTTCTGAATCTTAAGCCAGAAGAATTAGAAAGTGGGAGGATTAAGGTAAATTAGAAGAGTTGATAAGAAATCCGATTTATGCCGAGAAAAGGGAGAGATAGATCAGAGTTAAAGAGGAGGGAGTATTCCAGCCCTGTACTAAGCTGATGACAGCAAGGCATAGACTCCTCTGACCCGCACAAAATTGCAGAATACCCAGGCAGCTTTTTCAGGCAAACTGTTCCCCACAGAGGAATGGTGGGCCCACTCCTGGTGGGTGAGTATTATGCAGGACATCATGGACTGTCTGTGTTGACTCACTTCATAAAATACCTGTAACTCACCCAAGGCCATATTGGGTCCTGCTGTGATTCAAGGGATCTTCTACTTGAAAGAAATTTCCTGGGGTTTTTTTGGTACTGGGAATCAAACTCAGGGCCTCACGCTTGCCAGACAGGCGCTGTGCTGCTGAGCTGTATCCCTACTCCTGGGTTTTTTGATGCTTGAAATGTCTTTAAGTGGTTAAAAGAAATCTTTAGTTCTAAACTTAGCAATATGAAATTTAACACATGAATTTGCCTCAGTAAATACTTTAATATTCTAAGTGTAGTCAAGTATAGATGGCAGATAGATCCTTTGGTGTTTTTGATGAGTGGTATTAAAGACCTGAAGATTGTGCCATTGACAGGCAAGTGAAGAGCAGAGCAATGAGAAATCCTTCCAGAACAAAAGAAACTTCTACTACATGGAAGATTTGTCTAGAATGGGCTCTGTTTATGTTCAATGAGTCTTTGTTGGAAGACCCAACAGATACAAGTCATAAATGCAGCCATTTTCATCTTTCAAGGCTGTGAGCACTGATAACCTTGATTTTTACAGCATTTTGGGGGGAGAATTTTTAAAGTGGCTTGTTTGGAAAAAGTACATTCAAGTTATGTATTTTCACTAGGGCATGTATATATTGAATGTTTTTTTTTAAAAAAAATCAAATACTTAGCATTAAGAATATACGTTGTGCTCAAGATACTATAACTACTTTAAGGACCCCTTTAGAGGAAACAGGAGTGGAGAGATACAAAGCCTGAAGTTTCCAGTGATCAGAAAACACCATGACAGTAAGAAGAAAAAGAGATTCTTGCTAATAGGTAGTTGAAGAAGGCTGCCCTGAGGAATTAACATTTGGACAGGGACCTAAAAAAATGATGTGATGAGGACTTGCCGTATAAAAGGAGTAGCATATGCCGGAGGCCCCTGCAGTCAGGTTCCAGTCCCCACCTGCCCAGTGTGTGACGCAGGCCTGAGAAAAAGAATACACTAAGAGACAGAACTGAGAGAGAGAGAGAGAGCAGGGTGCCAGGACGACCAGTGCCGGTGCAACCGACAAAGGCGCTGGACAGTCCCAGGCACTGACTTTTATTGACAATCAGTTGGGGTAAAGGTGATGTGTGGTTTCTATGGAAATTAATGTAAACAAGGCTCAGAAAGGACAAGAAAAGCATTCTCAAATTAGGAACAGAATAGACAAAATATATGGTTGTAATTAGAACATTGTCCTCATAGTCTGAAGGTTTGGTTGTGGGAATGGAATTTGGGCGCAAGTTACTCTGACTTTGGCATGTAGGCTTCAGCTAGATTCACTTCTCAAAACAAGCCAATTGTGAGGTTAACTCTTTACAGCCTGCCTTGGGCATAATCTATATTACAGTCCTCTACAAGCATATACAAAAGTGTGACAGTATGAAGTGCCACCTGTTAAAGGATCCATAGACACAGCAAAGAATGTGGGAAATGATGGGAAAGGTGGCAGGTAGGTTGTGAAGAAGCTTGTGTGTTTGGGAGTTGGGATTTCATGGCAGTGGGTCATCATTAAAAGATTTTGTCAGCAGATGGATAACATAGTTTAAGAAAAATAGCTTTGTTGGTGGCAGAGGAGGTGGTCTGTATACCAGTTAAGAAACCTGCAGCGACCTGCATGGAGGCTTGAGTTGGAGCAGTGATGAAGAGATTAGAGGGGAGTAGATTTTGAAGGGATGTAGAAGGTAAAGGAGATAGGATTTGAGAGATTAGATGGTGGTTGATGAGAGACGGAGAGAAATGAAAGATAATTGGATCCTAGCTGGGGTTACTGAAAGGATTGTGTACTGAAAGGATTCCAAATTGTGATAAGGAATATAGAATGAGGAGATGGAAAGGGTAATTTATTTTTATAAATGTTAAATTTGAATTATCTGTTGACTAACCCAGTATAGACACTAGAAGTTGGTAATGCAGAACCCAAAAGAGAAGTCAGTCTAACATATAGTTTTGAGAGGCTTCCTCTTTTAGGTAAAAAGTGAATGAAATGGCCTGGGAGAGCACATTGAGTGATAAAGAAAAGGACAGACAGCTGAACTTAAACTTTGAGTGAACAAGCAGGGATAGACATCAAAAGAACTATGAAAAAACAAAACCAAGCACTTCTGCCTCTACCCCCCAACAAAGGTCAGAGAAGTAGAAAGAAGTAGGAGAAACCAGTGTCTTAGAAGGCATGGGAGAAGTGTTCCATAGAGAATCCCAGGGGCAGTTTTGCACAATGGGGAACAATGGCGAGCATGACAGAGGCCTTTGGGTGGGAGGTGAACCTTTAATGACTGGAGGCCGTGTCAGCTGAGCGCTGAGCTGGAAGCCAGGCCAGAATGCCTGGAGAGCACGCCCAAGAGAGGGAAAGAGGATGTCAGGGTGCCTGGGGCCCAGGACACTTTCTTTTTTTCTTTTTAAGTATAGCTGAGAGTGATTAATAATCTGTTGGTAAGAAGGTAATTCTAATTTTGGAACAAAATGCAGAAAAATATATCTTGTTTCAAGAGTACAGTTAAAATCACCTTTTAAATAATTGATACAATGTTCCTAAAATCAATGTTAGTACCCTCTGAGCTAGCCTTCTTCCTCTAATCTTTTTCAAAATTTAAAAATCACAGTAAGTAGTAACAGTTACTTAGAAGAAGTAAATAGATGAAGGATTGAGATCTCAGCTTCCAGCTACTAAAAACTGTCACTTCCTCAGAACCTCATTTTGGAGTTAGGGGGTGGGAGATGAACTAGGATTTTTTTTGCTTGGATGAGTTTTATATGTATCTCACTTAGCTTTATTTACCTAAAGTATGACTTAAGAAAATATGAGAGAGAAGTTGTTGCTCCAGAACGTCTCTTATAGATCCTTTATTATTATTTTTATAGGTCCTTTATTATTGATATATTGATAATAACACTGTTTGAAATTGCCCAAAATTCATACTGAAAATGTGAGATGTTGTCAGTGGGAAGATTGGGTAGAACATTTGTTCCAGCTCTTTCCAAAATATGCCAGTTGGATAGCACAGATAGATATTCTTCAAGAATACCTGAGAGGAAACCTACCGGGTTCTTTAGGATTTTGTAAGTTGAGCTATTTTAATGAACTGAGGGAGAACACTGAATTTAAGGATTATGCACAAGAAGGTTATGGGTAGATTCAGAGGGCTTGTGAGTATTAGATTTCTCCTTTTGCTTTTCCTGAAAAGACCTGACTTTCAGGGAAAGTTAAGTAATTAGGAAAGAGGAAAACAAGAGTCAAACTCTGAAATGAACAAATCTACCACAATATAGTATAGTATACGTCCTACACTTTGTGATAAGAAATAGTAGTTTGAAATTACAGAGTTTGAAATTCTGAAACTTAGTTTGAAACTAAGAGCTACTTAGTTTTTCTTCAAAATTACTAATGTATGAGTTGTTTAAAATTGAGAATAGGCAGGGATGTAGCTCAGTGATAGAGCACTCGCCTAGCATGCATGAATGACAACATCAGTAACAACGACAAAACAATATCAGTAACAATAACAAAAAGTGGAATAGTTGCAGCCTTATTCTCCAACCCAATTTGGAATTAATCTCTGTCACAGGAAGGAAACATCAGTAAACTGTTCTTTTTCTTTTCTTTCTCTTAATGGCATCTCATAGCTTACCTTCCTATGCTTCTTTTTTTGGTACTGGGGATTGAACTCGAGACCTTGCGTTTGCAAGGCAGGCGGCGGAACCACTGAGCTAAATCCCTGGCCCCTCCTATACTTCTTTTAGCGTATTTACTCTTCTGGGTAGACACAAGTGTCGCCAAGGCCTGGCTTAGTGGACTGAGACACTCCAGGTGATGTAGTGCAAGTGGCTTGCTGTCCGGTTCCACTCATACGAGGAGTGGAGTACCTGGCCTGGCCTTGAACCTGGGCCCACTCTTGGTGCTGCCTCCTGATACCTCTGTCAATAAAAAGAATGGTGGGAAAGAGGACTTTATTCTTTCAATCATTGTCTGTTAGGCACTTATTACATCCCAGGCATAATTTTTTGTGCTTTGAATTTAACAGTAAACAAGACAAGATCTTTACATTCAAGCAGGGCTAAAAAAATTGATCAGGTTATTTTAGATAGTCATAAATGCTGTAAAAACATCAAATAGGAGAAAGGATAGACTGTGACTGGGTGATAGGAGGAGCTACTTCATACTTAGTATCAGGGAAAGTTTTCTGAGGAAATAATATCTGGGTCTTCAAGTAAAGACCAGAACCATTAAAAATAAATAAATAAAAGACCAACTGTGTAGAGGACTAGGGGAGGCAGAAGAGGCACAAAGTATGAAGCCCAGGATCCAAAGGCAGGAGTGATCTTGGCAAGTAGTTAAAGCCACAGCTTCTTTTATAAAGCTCTCTTATAAAGACCGGGCTCCCTTCTCAGAGGTCTGCAGAAGGAATAGCTGCTGGGCATGGGTCTGTTTTCACAGTAGGCTTTAGACACCCGCAATGTCCTGCTAACGAAGGTGGTTCTGGACCAACACTCTGTTGTATCTTACATATGGTGAGTCACACAGCCCTCTCAAACTGAAGATGCAGGATCCCTGACTAGAAAATAGAAAGAAGCCATACATCATATCTCTATTTGTTTTAAAACCCTTATACTTTTCCTTATAGTGTCTGCTGCACAGAGCTTTACACCCCCAGGAGCCTCTGCCCCCAATCCAGCAGCATATTTTGAATATGCTGGATCCCCCAACAGAGGTGACAGCAAAATCTCAGATTCCTCTCTCCAAAATAAAGACCCTTTTCCCTCTGACCGAAGCCATCAAGAGAAAAGATCAAGTAACTGCTCAGGACATTTTCCAAGACAAGTAAGTACTGGATGTAGTTGTATTTAAGATTTGCAGAAGTCTTGGAGGAGCTCTGGAGTTAAAGCATTGCCTGGGGGATTGTGGAATTACAAAGGTAGAGGAAGAAGCCTTTTGATGTTTGACTCTTGCATTGAAATATTGATTTTTCATATCTGCCCATTAGTCATGTTTTATCCTTGCTGTTCACTTGAGATTTGGGATTCCCTTCTGGGTTGTTGACTTTTGGGTTAGGATGGGAGGAGTGGGCTGAAGGTTATGAGGTTCTTTTGGTGGAGAGTTTAAGTGTCAGTGAGATTTTTGGAGAAAAAGTTGGAAGGAGAATGAAAAATCCAACCCTTCTTTAGTTACTCTATTAGTATGTTAGTGATGTACTTGCTTGTGCTGTTAGGGAAGTATTATACCATTAGGGAGGCATTTGTTGCAAAATGCTTTTCATATGATCTTTCAATCAAGCTTACAAGTGGCTATTAAGGTTTTTCCTCATCAGATTCTGTTTTAGAATTTGTATTACTTTCCATTGGAAAAAAACAAAAATAAACTAGGAGAAATTGTTCTTGATTATCTAGAATCATTTTAGGTATGTAACATTGATTTTACCAAGTCAACTGTTTTTTTTCTCAAACCAGAATAATCTGTTCACGTCTTCTTGCTGCCCTTAAGATCTGGCTTTAGATCATTATTATTTTTTCTTTAATTTCCTTCCCTCAGCTGTATCTTCACTGACAAAGTAAAGGATACTATAATAACCCAAGTGAAAGAATATTGAATAATTTCCAGAAACTTTCTCTGGTTTCTATAATTCATTGCTGGAAGTATCATCCAAGTTGGATAGAAAGATTTGCGTATTTTGTGACTTTCCAGAGGTTAAAACCCCAAGCTTTGTCAGAATTGGAAAAAAAAAATCATGTACTTGGCCAGGTGTGGTTAGCACATGTCTGTAATCCCAGCACTGGGGAGGCTGAGGCAGGAGCATTGCCATGAGTTCGAGGCCACCCTGGGCTACATAGTGAGTTCAAGCCAGCCTGAGCTACATAGCAAGAACCTGTCTCAAAAAATAAAAAACAAAAATCATGCACTCAGTAGATTCGATCGTGTACATTCCTAATATATCCTTGGAGGTATTCACAGCTCTGTTTTGTCTATCCTGCCTTCCACACAGGAAGACTGTCCCTAAAAATCCACTTTCCCTCCACTGTCCTCACCTAGCTATATGCCTCTGGATCCATAGTTCCGAGCAGTTCCATGCAAGTCTGCAGCCTTTTCTTCCCTTGACGCCTTGCTGTAGGCTCACTGCAATCACCGGTCTATTCTCTCTCTCTATTAAAGCTCCAGTTCATGATCTTGATTACCTTCTGATGCTGTGGGAAAGAAGTGGGCCATTTTCTCTTCTTCCTTTGATTAAAATGTAAATTAGCCGGTTAAAAACACACCACCGAGCCCCAGAAGGCTGTTGTTCAGTGATTTGATCCCTGCTGTGGTTATACCTTCAGCTGTAGTCCTATCGCTCTTCTGGAAGCTGCTGTATGCTGGGCTTCCATAATGGCGTGTGACAGAGCCAAGTTATCTGCCTACGGCCTGGAAATTATCAGTCATATACACCTACTCATTCTCCTATTCTGCCCTTATTTCTAAATATTAGGTTTTAAGAACTGCAAAAATGATGCATTTAGCATATATTTATCAAGTACCTCATATATTGAGGAAGAACGATTCAGTCTCTTCTTCATAGTTCTTAAAATCTTCCATTTTTTATGAGAAGTCTCCAATTACCTTTAGAGATAATTTCTCTAAGGGGAAAAAAATTGTTATTGCTGAGCTATATCATATACATATATATATATATATATATATATTTTTTTTTTTTTTTTTTTTTTTTTTTCTTCCCTATCATCCCTGTACCCAGGGCACAAATTTCCTGGAGTGGGGTGGAGGAACTAAGATTGAGGAAAGGCAAATGTCCAATACTAAGATAACACTAAGTCGTGTTTTTTATTTCCTTTGGTACCAGGGAGCAAACTAAAGACCTTGCACTTGCGAGGCAGGCACAGTGCCACTGAGCTAAATCCCCAGCTCTAAGCTCTGTTTTTATAGATATTTATCATCCTTGTATCCAGAGTACATATTTCCAGTGGAGGAGAGTGGATTGGGGAGTGGCATGTGTCTACAAAGAAAGTTTCATAATCAAAGACAAAAGTCCTGAGGGTGGGACTCACTAATTTTCATTCCAGCTTTGTTACTGAGTTTGGTTAAATAATTTTACCTTTATGAGCTTTTCTCCACCTGAAAACAGCCTTACCTCAAGAGATATTATAATAATGAAATCACATATATTAAATCACTTCAGTCTATTTGAAGGAAAGGCAATAGTCAAAACCCACACAATAATTGTATCATTATCAGTGAAAACAGTGAACATCTGAGAAGGTCTGATACACATCTTGGACTTGGTGAATACCTAATGTTAAAAGTGATTTCTTTATTTCAAGAGACAAAGAGCACCATTTGATACATTAGTCCCACCATGTACTAAATATTACCCATATCATATAAATGCATTACTTCCTATAATGTAGACATACACTCTTGAAATGAAATTGTCAGAATTAAGACATCTGAGGTCTAATCCTACTTGTGCAAATGATGAGGTCTGTGAGTAAAAATTTTTTAAAATCCTAATTATGTCTGTAGTATTTAGTAACAGTGATGACAATGATAATAATAGCAGAAATGTTTTCATAGAGAACACAGAGACAAATTGATGGGAAAACCTCAGTTTTCTGGCCCATCTTATCTAAAAGCATATATCTGTTTTACATCTCCCTTTACTTCTTTCCAGTCTCAGTGGTGTAGGGCACCTCATCCTGTCTGAAGTTCATCCCTTCACCTGTGCCCTGAGCTCCTATCTTCTGTCTTATCTGGTACCTTAGTCCACTAATAAAGGCTTCTATCTGGCTGTATTTTCAGCTTTTCCCTTTACCAGCTTCTTTCCTTCCTTACCTAAGACAAAATAATCCCCCCAGCTTCTTCCTTCCAATTACTGCCTGGTACTAATTACTAATCTAATTATTATCTTTCCTTCCACAAGCCAGGCTTATGAGGAGAAAAGTCTACAATGCTGCTTCTCTCAGCTCTCGTCCTCTGCCCCCACCACCTCTCAGAAACTCATCTTCCAAGACATGCCCTGCTCAGTTCCCTTCAGCTTTGCAGTCCTTTTCTTTTATGACCTCTTTCTTTGTGGCGCTTGACAAGGTGAAGTGCTACCCACGTATCTTCCTTAACTTCAGATGATACCCTCTCAGAATGGGGGTGCATTTCCTTCCCCGCTGACCTTAAATGTTGATGTTCTGTAGGACTTGTCCTCAGACAAGCTTACATTTATTGAACGCAGGTATAATTCTGAGTGCTTTACTTGCATTATCTGTTTGGATCCACTTGGCCATCCTATGAAGTAGATTGTTGGATGGACAACACTTTAAAGCTGAGGAGACTGAGGATTAGGGAAGATCCCAGTTGGCAAATGTTGGAGCAAGGATTTAAATGCAGGGAGTCTGACTCCAGAGCTTATACTCTTAGCTGTAATTCCATTTTGCCTTAGCAATGCATGTGCCAGGAACTTTTATTATTGCGCATACAGAGATTCAAAATCCATTGAATATTTCTCTGCAGCCTAAATTTTCATCCTATCTGCAGGAGAGCTTAAGTTTCTAAAGTTACTTCAAGTTTAGTGTGTCCAGAAATACAACTGCATGGTCTTTCTCTTTCCATGCCCCTTTCAAAGTGTACTTAATGCTGATACAATCTGTTTCAGTGAATAACACCTGATTTCCTGGAGGTCTTCTCTTTCTTTAACTTTTTATATCTAATTGGTTTGCCAAGCTATATTAAACTTACCTCAAATCCTCTTTTTTCACTTCAGGTCAGTATAGTGTCTAATTGATTTTGGAGTCAGATTTGGATCTAAACCAAAACGTTCCTCCTTAAAGTGGTTAAAATTGGCAAGTTGCTGTTACTGTCAATGGGAGTAACAAATACCTGCCTTTGATGAGCCTTTATTTGCTCTTCTATAAAAGGACAGTGATAATAGCTAACTCATGGGGTTGCTGGAAAGTTTAACTGAGATAGTTTACATGTGCCTAGATAGTGACTAGCACGTTAGCTCTCACTAGCATCACCCACTTGTATTTTATGTATGCCTCCTTATTTTAGCCTGCTTCACTAAGATAAATAGCCTCATAACTATTTTTTCCTCTTTCCCATCCATTCTTCTCCGGAATGGTTTATTTTCATGTTTGTCAGTTTATTATGAAAGATATTACAAAGGAGATGCATAGGGTGAGGCGTCCAGAAAGGGCCACAGAGCTTCCATGCCTTTTCTGCGAGTGCTGTCCTCTAGGAACCTTCATGTGTTCAGCTGTCTGGAAGCTGTCTGAACCCTGTCCATTGAGTTTTTTTGGAGACTTCACAACATAGGGAAGACTGATTAAATCAGTAGCCACTGGTGATCAATTTAATTTTTAGCCCCTGTTCCCCAGAGGAGGGAGACAGGACTAAAATTCTTAGCCTTCTAATCCTGCCTTGGTCTTTCAGGTGACCAGCACTCACCTCCCCTGCTACCCTACCTGTTCTGAAGCTACCTAGACCTGTCAGCCAACCTGATTTGCTTGTTTGTTTTGGTAGTGATGGGAATTGAACCCAGGGTTTTGTGCAACCTAGGCTGAGTGATTTTCTTTTTTCTTTCTTTTTAAAAATCTGATCACATCATTCTTGCTTAAAATTCTTTAATGCCATGATTCTTAACCTTCTCTCTCCTCTTGATGGACTCATGATATAAAAATTATAAACTCTCTCCCCAGAAAGATGCCATTACTACCAAGTTTTGAATATACTTTCATAGTTCACAGACTCTTAGACTGCTAATTTTAAAACCCTTGCTTTAAATGACTTCCCATTACCATCAGCGTAAGATTATCAGGCTCGATACACAAATGAGAAAACCCAGATAAGCAGAAAGAATAAAAAATCCAGCTACCTAGAGAAAACCATTTTTTCCTCCCTTTGGGGTTAGAGCTTTTGGAGATTGAATTCCAGGGCCTCATGCATGCTAAAAGTGTGGTCAACTGCTGTGCTACATCCCAGCCCTTCCTCATATTTTCTTTATTTGGTACCAGGGATCGAACTCAGAACCTTGTGCTTACGCGTCAGGCGCCGGAACCACTGAGCTAAATCCCTGGCCCCGATTTACATATTTCCTACCCTCTGTTCTCATTACTTCCCAGGTTACACCTCATATTGTAGCCTCATAAAATTGCTTGCTAGTTATAAAAGATAAGCTGCTTATCACAGTATTTTATTGTCTGTTTACATTTATTTGTCTGAACTTCTTGACAATGATGTGTATTAATTTTTGTGTGATGAGAGTTTAGAATCTAGCTTAGTGTCTGACACATAGTAAGTATTCATCCAATGCTTGGCCAAATAAGTGAACTACAAAATTTATACATATTTATGAAAGAGAATAAGAAAAAAAGGAACAAATCACTTGTGGTCCCATCATCTAAATGCAGCAAATGTTAACATTTGTATGTCTACTGTGATTTTGTATGGGTAATTTCTACTTTCTAGGATTTAGTGTCTTTGTAGATAATTTGGGGGTGAGAGTCAGTGCCCTTTCCCACCTTACACAGATATTATGAGTCTAATATATATAACATTTCTAATAATACTATTAAATGATTTCACCTTGAGACTGTTAGTCATAGTAAAGTTTCACTACTTTCTGCTTATTCCTGGGGCTATTTTTATCTGCCTGGTACTGGTGATTGGTATATACAGTGGTACCTTGGTTCACAAACTTAATTTTTTCCACAATTCTGTTTGCAATGATCTATGCTTGCAATTTGGTTGTGACTAGAAGCATGGAACAAATTTTGTGACCAGAATTGTGGAAAGAATTAAGTTTGTGAACCAAGGTACCATTGTAAGTCTCTTTACCCTTCCTTTTTAGAATCTTTGGAGAGTTTAAGAAATTCTTCATGTGATTCAACCATATGTTTCTATAGAACTTAACCTAGGGTTAAGTTGTATGTGTAATGCTTCTTGATATTACTATATAAGTTAGTATTTTTGGAAGACATTAGTTGATAGACTAATGATACTTTTTACCATGTGTTTCCCTGAGGAGCAAACTGAAGCTCAGCAAGATAAGAACTTACTAAAATCTAAACTCTGGATATACAGAAATGATGTGTAATGAACACCTCCAGGAAAGTAAAGATTTCAGGGCTAGTCAATGGCAAAACAGAAAGTATAATCCTGGTCTTTTTTTCTCCAAATCTTCCGCCTTACCCTAGTGTCTTTCTCATGGGAAGAACTGGCAAAGGTTAACTGAACTGGCTGGCTGTAGTCATTTTTTTTTTTTTTTCTAATTGATTCAACTTCTAATGGAATTTTATTAATCCTGGGTTTGTGCATTTTTCTTTCATTGTTGCCATTAAGGGTTTATGTGTTTATTTTTTATTTTACTTGCAAGGAAGGAACTCTGGATGACTTACCCCTTATGTTTCCTGGTCCCTGTCCTGTCTCCTCTTCCCTACTCTCTGCTTCTTAGAGGGAAAAGGACAGTGGTAAATGAAAAAGACATCAAGTGATAGAACTTTTCGTTCATGTGTGAATGGCTATGACGCTTGTGGTGATGACTTTATTCTTTTGCCTACCTGTGAGAGGAGATTTGGTATTGAAACACCACCGAGGGAGCCAATTTCTGTTTTATTTTTTCTTTACTTCATTTCTAAGACAACCTTTATTTTTCAAAACTCATTAACTTAACGTTGGGGTTTTGAACAACACGCAGAACTACTAGTGTTAAAAATCACTAAGAGTAGATTTTAACTGTTCTCACCACAAAAGACAACTGTGAGGTAACCTGTATGTTAAATAGCTCAGTTTAGCCATCCTACAATGTATACATCTTTCAAAACATCATATTATCAGATCATAGTTACTAATTTCTTACTCATTTCATTCAGCCATTTCTTAATGGCTTATTTTGTCTTAGACTGATTACTTTTCTGGGAGAAAAATCTCTGTATCTTTATGTTCTGTAGTGTATGGGAAATCATGGCAGAATCTTTGGATTGGATTTTCTTTTTCTTTTCAGTTAACTTGCCTAAGTCACACTGTTAAGCCAGCATGTTACTTGAGGCAAGATGTTTGATAAACTTTTTGGAGTTGTCTTCTCTTAGTACACAGATGCTGTTGAATTGTGTTAATATATTGCCCAAAACTTTTATAAAAGAACGAATTAAATGGGTTTTGGGGAAAACATTTAGAAATAGTTTAAAAATTCTTTTAAGAAGCTCTTGTATATTTATTTATTTTTTGCTCTTGTATATTTAATTAAAGATTATCTAGTAGTTTTGACAGTTACAAGTAGAAGCTTATAAAGCTCTCACATATATGATGTGAGATAAGAAGTTCTGTGTACATAGAAAGCTATTAGCTATCAACTCCGAGGCAGGGACTGCAAGTAATATCTGAAGAGCAGACAAATTTCTTATTTAAATGTTGTATTTCCATTACCTGTGCTTGCAGTTTCATCTTCTGTGAGGACTTTATGATATACCTTCTAATTATGACTTGTATACTGCCGGAGGGAAACACCAGCTGGCTCCAGGTCAGGCTGCCGGGGATCCTGCAGCGGGGAGGGTGAGACGAGGTGTTCGTAAAGACAGAGTGCTGTGACTATTTGGTTTTGATGCTAGGAAACAAGTTTATACTGTTCACATAAAAAATTCTGGGTTTTGTTTGTTTTAAAGAGAAAAAAAACCCATTTCTTTTCTAGCCATGAAGAGGGACCTACTGTTAAAAAACACAAAACTGAGGAGGGAGAAGCCCACTTCAGTGTCTCTAGCCTGGCTGAAGGAAGTGTCACCAAGGTTAGCAGGGCTTTTCCAGTGTGTGCTCCCCTGTGCAGGGAAGCTGGGGCTTGGGGCGGGTGGTACCAACTTTCGTGGTCTGTTAACTTGCCACTTCAGGGCCATCTTACATGTCTTTCTTTCTAAATAACTTATAGAACATGGAAAATCTTAGTAGTAGTAGCCCCCCCCCCCCCCATTACTGAGGATTGGATCCCGGGCCTTTGCACTGAGCTATACCCTCAGCCCTTTTTTATTTTTTATTTTGAGACAGGGTCTTGCTAAGTTACTAAGTTACCCAGGCTGAGCTTGAACTTGAGAACTTGAGATCCTTCTGCCTCAGCCTCCCAATGTACTGGGATTATAGGCATGTGCTACCACCCCTGTAGTGGTAGCACTTTCTCTACAGATTTTTTTGTTGGTTTCATTTTGCAGGTTTCCCTTTAGTCAGAAAGACAGGATAAGTGAAGGTTAATGATTGAGTCTTACTTTTTAAGTACTTAAAATTTAAGTTAGTATAACTTTCCTATGTCCAAGCTGGGTAACTTAGTGAGAGCCTGTCTCAAAATTAAAATAAATAAATAAATAAATTGAATTAAATTAAAAGGAATGAGGATGTAGCTTAGTGAGAAGGCTCTGGGTTCAATCCCCATTACTAAGAAAAAAAAGGTGAACAGAAAAATGTTGATAGTGATTTGGATTTTGTTTTGGTATTTTATAATGTAGGAAAAACTCATGATCTTTTTTGTTCCAGGAGCTTTTCTGCTGCTTGCTATTGCAAAGCAAAATGGAAACAGTACATTTTGTACTGTTTGTTCTCCACCCCTAGTAGGAACCCCATTGTTTTCTTCCCTGTGAGCTGAGTGATACTCAGGCTCTGTTAGGGTTGGGACCAGCAGATTAAAGACATAGTCAGTGATCAGAAAGTTCCATATACTATGGCTGAGGGTTGCATCTTTGAAACTTTCCCCTGTAGCACTTTTCCCTCTAGACTGCAGTAAGCCTTTGATCTTCTTTTGCTTGTTGGGAACATGTTCTGTTTGGGTATATTTGTGTATTTTACTGAAACTTCAATTATTATGGGCCAGCAGCAGTCCCCTAAAAGGAGCTGTTGAGTGAATTGAGCATTATGCTGTTACTCATGTCATCATAGTGGGACAAGTATATTTAGTGTGACCCCACGCTAGAGCATCCTCCTATTCCTGATTGGTTGGGTATCAGGATATATAGGCCATCTGTACCATATAGAGCCTTCAAGCTGAGGTGGCTGGTGCCTAGCATTTTAGTACTTCTGACTTCTGGAAACAAGTCAGTTTGCATAAAGAAAGGTGAATTAAAGTAGACAGGGCAACTATCTGATCACTTAATTCTGCTAGCTTTTAACAAAGCCCTGGAAATGACAATGTCACAGATGGCCTTCTCTTTGTCTTTAAGAGTACACTTACTACCTTAAGCCATATTGTATTGTTTGGGGCGCTGACAATAAGAGAAGTAACCTGCAGGTTCATTGTCTGTGATATTCTAGGTTGGAAGTGTGAATCCTGCTGAAAACTTCCGTGCACTAGTGAGACAGAAGAATGCCAGCTTTGAGGAAGGTGAGTGGTGTGCCATTGGCTTGGGGTTCAAGAGAGAGTACTTATTTAAGCTTACTGGTTTAAAGTCTAGGTTAATAACTGTAGCCTTTTATTACAGTTTCTGTATATGACATTTATCTTTACTGGCAGAGCTTGGTGATTTCTCTTGTTAAGAAATGTTAACAAGTTGTTCACTGGGGCAACATTATGAGCACACGAGGGTAAATGCAGTACAGGCCTGCCCAAAGAAAGAACTAACTTATAGGTCTCCCTGTTACAGAAACTTTGGACCAGAACCATGGGACTTTTAATTCTACCTGGTTGAAGTTCTCTGGCGTCTTACAAATGAACTTGGATTGTATCATCTATTTTCAGAAACACACAAGTCTTGCTCTAGTCCTGAGAGTTTAGGCCCCATTTGTAATAGTCCCTGAAAGACCTTGTTGCTGCCCCTAGATCTGATCCTTCTCAAATTTACTGCCTCCTCACATTTTTCTTAGCAGATATAACCTATAATTCCATTTAAGCTGGGGTTAATATCAAAACAGCTTTTGGTGATGAATGGAGGGTCTGGGACCAACGTTCATTCACTTGACTATACTCGGGTTCCTCTTCATTCACCCTTTGGAAAGGGCAGCCGGCAGTGGTTCATCCTGCAGGTTTTTGTGTACCACATATTGCATTCAATTTTGGTGCTCAAAGTAAGGCCTGTTGGTGAACTGCCTTCTATGTGTGTGTGTGTGTGTGTGTGTGTGTGTGTGTGTGTGTGGTTATGTTCATGTATGCACAGAACTTTCTCCTCCAGACTGGTGGTATTTAAGGAGGAATACTGACTCTTAAATGCTTAGAAAGGCTGCTGCTTGGCATAGGTTTAAGGCACCTTGCTACTTATGCTCCACGAATCTGGCAAGGTGCCCAGACTTACTATGCTGTTGCTCAAAGGCAATCATCACCAGCTGAGCCTCAGAGAGAGCAAACCATCTACCAGGCCAGTTCCTTTTGGCAGGAACCAAAGGCCAAGCCCATGAGAATTTCCTGAGTAAGATCAGGTTTGTCATCATAGTAATCTGCAGTCTTAATTGAGCTGTATATGTTTTGAGTTTTGAGATGCAGGAAGAGCTTTTTGTCTTGCCAGCAGTTGCCATATAGGAGAAAAGATTTTTAGTTGTAACACAAAACAAAAACTTTATGTAATTAGCAGAAGGAAATCCAAAATTCAAAGTGAATTTTCCAAAAAGATTGGTGACAGCAGTGCTTCAGAATTTCCTTCTTTCATGAATTGGAATGATCAGAAGAGACTTTTATTGTGTAGTAGCTGAGTGTTGTCTGTTTGGCTGAATATTGTGACTCCATTTGGAAGAAGGCAGACAAGCCATTGTACCCTTGTCTGTCATGATCATTGTGTTTTTGAAGAAAGATTTAGAGCTTCTTAGCTTTAAGTGCTTGTTGTCAGTTACTTCCATCAATCAGGGCCCAAGGTCCTCTCCCTGTAAGTGACCAGTCTCCTGGGTGGTGTAGGCATGTTTTTTTTCAGGGATTAAATCCAGCTGTGAGGGTCATTATGCGGTATCCAGTATTTATTTTGTGTTTGCCATGTGCAGAGCATTGTGCTAGCAGTTTGTTATTTTGTTTCATTTACCCTGCCTAACAATCCTCCAAAGTCCCATGAGGAAGTGGAGAAAATGTTAGCACTTTAATAGCTAGTGAATTTTCTGAAAGAGAGAATTGTTTTTATTGGAAAAATACTTTGATGGGTTCCTAGCAGAGAAAATGAATCTCTGTCCATGGGCTTGGTGGTCAGCCAGTGCTGAGGCTTGAGAGGAAGGGGAATCGCCTCACCTTCATAGATGGAGAAAACCTGGAGCTAGTTCAGGAAAAGGGTGGGAGAAGGGAAGAAGAGGGACCGGAAGGGAGTTTGCACAGGAGCACAGCCTTCTGTACAGGTCCCCAACTTGTGCCAAGTTATGACCACAAATCCTAGTACCTTTAAAACTAGATTTGTACTCTGTCTAGGGGGAAACTGGTGGAGAGGCAATTTGGTGTTTGGAATTTTTTCAGGCTTGGCAGCGAAAGCACCTGTGAACACAGGAGGCCAGAATCTTAAGGGACCATGAGAGAATAAATTCCTGGGAATTTGTTCAGTCTTAGGAAAATATGGTTCTTTCAAGCCAGGAAATTGAGGATTTGAAGCAGTCCTGTAAAATTAACAAGGGCAATGTCATTTAGGTTGCAGTAGGTTATTATTGCCATTTTATCAATGAAAAAACTTAAAATTGGAAGACATGGACTTTCCCTAAACCACACAGGAATCCAAACGCATGTCTCTTTAACATACTGGATTGTTGTTCTTAGCCAGACTATTTCTTCTGTTTCCTGATGGCCTCCTTTCTTATACTAAAGAAGATCATAAGGTTATGTATCTAAAACCTTGTTCCTAGGTATAGGTGAGACTTTGACTAGTTCTGTCCTTTCACTTTGAATGTGACTTTGAGTCTTAGCACATTGTTACTGTGATAGTGGATGTCTTCTGTATCTCCATCTAGGTCTTGGTGGATCTGAGCTCTCCAGTGATGCCACAAAACCCACACTTTCACAGGGCTGTCAGAAAAGTGGGACTATCTAGTTCTGGTTTTGTTTTGTTTTTTTGTTTGTTTTGTTACAGGGGATTGAACTCAGGACCTTGCACTTTCGAGGCAGCACCACTGAGCTAAATCCCCAGCCCTGAGACTACCTACTTCTTGTCCACTAATTTTGCTTTATGGCTCTCAAGGCTTCCCTTTTTATCCATTCCTCTGTTTCCAGCTCCAGAAATTTTGTATCTTCATTGCTAGTCCTGCTTTTTTTCTTCTGATTGGGTATGTCTTTACTATACCCTTTTATGAGCCAAGACTCACTTTCCTTGCCCACCAAAGGGTACTTTGTCCAGAATTTAAGTGGTCTTCCTGGTAGTGATCTCCTTTATCCCTCCTTACAATAGACCTCTGTCTAGGGAGGGAAGAGACATCCAGATTCTTTTGATTCAGTTGCCAGAAGGGTGACTAACAATACATAGTTGCTAAGATTGTTTTACTCTTGGGTAGAACTTGGCTATTGTACCTGTTGATGAAAACTAAAACATGGGTGTAGTTATTTTCTCTTGGCCCCCACTGTAGCATAGTCATACTGAAAGTATGGCAATACCATCTCCTGGTTCCAGCAGTCTGCAGTCCTCAGCTACCACCTATACAGTTTCTTACCTTCTGGTTTTTAGTGTGAGTGTTGTTCTAACTTTGTTGGCAGAGGAGATAGCTCACATTCTGAACCCCAGACAACATGGTCTTCCAGGCTGCTTGTGCTTCTGGGCACTGTCTTTGGCACCATCTCAAGTGCTTTTCTTTTTCCAGTCCCTTTCCTCTTCCATCCCTACCTTCCCAGTTGTTCTGTCACTGTAGTTTTCAGTGGAGACGTTCTTGGCCATGGCTGTGTAGACAGTGATCATCTATCAGTTGTGAAAGTAGATCATTTCTCCACGCTCACTATTCATAAGTGACAGTGTCTCCATCATCTGTGATCTGTTATATATGGTTGTGGGTTCCACTCAGTTCTCAGAAGCTCCTCAACTCCAGTCTGTCTGCTTGTTTGAATGTACTCCTCCAGCCAGCTCATCAGCAGAGCTGCTGAAAGAGTACACCATGGATTTCTAACTCCTTGCCCTTTTCCTACTTTACTTAGGAAGAGTGCTAAAATGATCAAAAGTTAGAGAGCAAATTGGAGAAGAAAAAGCATTATTTCAGCCCTCCACACAATTCCTGTGTGATTGAGATATGTCTGAATTTATAAATTCTCACCGAGTATGGGGCATTATGTAAAATAGATAGAATGTTCCTGGTGTGTCAGAAACAAGTTTCTGGGAGCCTGTCGGAAAAAATGGATATATGGAGACAGCTAATAGGATGGCATGGAACTTATTTTACTTTCTCTTTTTTTCTTTTTTTTTTGGTACCAGGGATCGAACTTGGGTCCTTGTGCTTGCAAGGCAGGTGGTGGAACCACTGAGCTAAATCCCCGGCCCTGGAACTTATTTTTTAATGAGATGGTTCTCTTTTTTGTAGATCTTTGTTTTGCATCTCATAGAATCTATATTAGGCTTCTTGGTAGTAACTGGTAGAGCTCCATTCTACCAAGTTGAATTCACAAGAGCATGACTAGTTTCAAACAAACAAACAAATGAACAAACAAACAAATTGCAAAGACATCCTGCAGAAGAATGGCACAGACCCCCAAACAGCTGCTGTTTAGCATTATATTTACCATTACGTACAAGTGAGTAGTAGTTTGCACCTCTCTATTTGATTAGAAGATGATCAGTTTATTCTGTGGCTGCTGGGGTATTTCTGTCATTTTTCTTTCCCTTCCCTTTGGTTTAGATTTCATCCCCAAGTCTGTTTGCACTATCCCATGTGCAGAGCAGTTTACTTATATAGATTATGTGATTTTATGTAACCCTAAATTGTGAATCCTTTAGCATTACAGTCTAGGAGAAATTTCCTCTGTGAATGGTGTGTGTGTGTATGTGTGTGTGTGTGTGTGTGTGTGTGTGTTTGTAATTGGCCTGGATTTATGTGATCTTGAGTATGAATTATCTATCATATCTCTGTCCAGATAAGCAGATAAAAATGTGGCCTTTATCTATACAGAGTTGGTGAATTTAAGAAAAACAAATTCTGAGCATTTTAAAAGAATGCTATTAAATACAATAACTAAAATTTTAAACCTCTTCAGACCTATAAAAGGTGTTTTTTTAAAAAAACAGTTTGACATACTTTTCTTAATCCTTTTTCAAAATAGCATCAGTGCATCTAGTCATGAAGGAGAAAATACAGTACATGATTACTGATTCTAGAGGTTGAGTCTATACTTTATATTTTTTTATTAACTGTTTTTACTTGTTCTTCACTGATTACTTTTTTATTCATTTTAAATTGTTAAACCCAGAACTTGAAGAGCCAGCCTTATTTTCCGCCTCATTGATTAAGACAAGT